AATTTTTAGGGTTCATTTTTTTGGTTTTGTAAAAGCCCCCCAAAAATACCCACGTTTTGCAAACAATTTACGGAGTCACAAAATCGGCACGGGTGTGTGATAAAAAGCTATACGGGATTCCCCTTTTCATACTCTTTCAAAGTATTATTGAAATGTTAAAATGCAATACATGTATAAAATAAAGACCTTATCAAAAGTACTCTTTTTTGTTCGGAAACTAGCCTGAGATTTTATATAAGATTGTACTTTTCAGCCCAACTGTCTAAATGCTAATTTATTACTTTAGTAAATAGCTTACCAAAAGTGCCAAGTTGGGCAATACCTCTGTAATTATCAGGGTTATCAACATCCCCCTTTTATGAATAAGTTGATTAAGTCCACTTTCCAGCTTGCTGCGAAATAACCTAAATGAACAAACTATAACCAATGATTGGTTACATCAATTATTTCTACATTAGATTATTTCTCGAAATTTTCAGAAATATATAGTTTTCTATATTTTGTACGAACCCAGGTCGTTACAAAATTATGCCCTTAAATATTGATGTTGAAAAATAAAGTGGTATGAATTTACCTCCATGCAAATAACATAGTTTAGAGTTAGCTTTGAGCATAGCTGTAGGTCATAAAAATGTTTAACGTCTAATAACACCTAAAAAGTAAAGTAATTTAATGCAATATAAAAATTAAGGTAGCTCTAACAATGGCTGTTCAGCCAACAAAAGACGCCGCCACTCAAGTTGTTCTTACGAATTGATGCCAAACGGCACACAGTATCTTTTCGTTCTCCGTCTACTTGACAAGGACTGCTCCTTTCATTTCAGGGCACCAACAATAAACAGTCGGCAAGCACGTGGAGTAGTTTCTTTCTCTCTTTTGCTGGTGTCTTAAACATCATCCGCGACGAGAGAAGTAATTGTTTTAATTATGATATGCTATTTATATGAAAATAAGAGTAACAAAGGTTTGAATAACGGCAGACTTATAAATTATGTTCGTACTAAACTGGTTTAGATTGTGGATTTAAGTATTTTTCAAAATGTCATAATAAGTTTTTTTCTAGTCATCTGCCGCAATGTAATATGTTCATGCCAAACATAAAAGTTTGTCAGGTTTACAAAATTATATCCTGCATTGTAAGTGTAATGGGCATTATAATACGGAACAAAAGTTTCAACCAGACCATTGAGCTTTGTTGAATAATCATAATACTGGTGATGGTACCATTTTTTAAAATTAATTCGGAAACGAAAGGGAAATTAATGACGCATTCAATGATGTGAAAACAAGATGTGTATTTTTTTCTATTAAACACACTGTGCATTTGATGTTTACTACTCCCTAAATCAAATGTTTTTAGTTTTTATTTGTCAATGTTCCATCAGAACGTCAGAACCAAATTGGGCGAAGGTATGGTCATCATAATTTTTTCTTGTACTTTTTGTTTTATTTTGATAGAGGGATGCGAAACCATCAATTCATCAAAGTATACATTCCCACCACGTGCAGTCATTTCTGAAATGTTAAAGACATCAATTCGATTGGTTTTATTTACATCTGCACATGCGGACCATCAAGTTCGCGAACTTTAAAAGACGTTTTAAATTAAAATTATATGTATGATATTCTAGCCTTCGATTCGATATATGCTTGTAAATGTGAAACAACGTGCTATTATAAAATGTATGAGTACAATATGTAAAATGTTCTATTCAAGCTTAAATGCTAGTTTTATTCTGTACAGTTGAAAGGTTTCTATTATTAATTGAGGTAATTTTTATTGTCATTATTTATTCTAATGATTTAGTTATTTCAAATTTTTTAGCAATATGAGTAGTGCTAATATGAATATGACAAACATAATTTGAATCACCTTTGGTTGTACCAAAACACTAATGGAAATTTTGCACCAATACTTCGGTTTATTTCAAATCAGACAAATAAACAAAACATCAAATCAAGCATGTAAAGACTTACGAAACAAAAATATGACCGCAATATCAATGCAAAAAATGAACACATGAGAAAAATCTAGAGGAATTTGCACAACCTAAGAATCTATAATGTAAATGTGGATTCGGACCATGCTCCGGTCTGAAAAATGACTGTATGATTTACTTATATATCAAGTAATTGTCCCAAGCAATTTTATTTGTTTGTTTTTTTACGTTTGAGGTTATTTAAACTACAGAAAATATAAATATTTGTGGTGTTAAACCTGAACAGTCATAGATCATACGGGTCAAAGTCTAAACTATTATTAAAACGATAATATAGTCATTAGTTCTACGTTGTACTGTACAGAGGAACACTATGTATCTGTTTGTGAAATTCAAAAGTTTTCGAATATATAAGGGGTTTATAAGTGTTTTTCGGGAATGTTAACAAATGTCGTTTGAAATAATGTAAAAGAATTGTAGTAGAAAAAAGTGAGAATAAAGAAATGGACACAAAAATTGAAAAAGCAAACATTAGTAAATTGACTATCGACAAGAAACATGTTCGACATGAATCAAAAATTCCTAAACCAAGACGTTCTTTAGTACTTTGTTACGGAAGCTTGTATCCTAATGAAAGAAAAGAAGAAAACTGGAAAGAAAAATATCAAGCACTTCAAAGAGAAAACAGATTCCTCAGGGAGGAAAATGCGCAGCAAAAAGAAAAGATACTCTCGTTAGAACAAGATCAGCGTAGATTATTAGTGGTAGGTAACATTCACTAAAATATATAGCATAGACATATTATATTTTTGTATATAGTAACACTACTTAAGTCATTTTCTCGTGAAATCGAAACTTCATTACGACAGACTTGAGTAACTCAAGAGGTTTGAACTTTGACTATATATCAAGTTTGTCGTTTTCACAAATGTATAGATTATCAACACCGTTTATAATGTTAACAACTTAATAACTGAGAAAATTTTATGTAATGTGCGATTATATGTAAACATATCAACTATAGTTAAAAATTATTGTAACTCAGAGGATGGTCATATGTGTCTATTGTGTCATTCTCTTAAACAGCAAGATTATTTCACCTTATTAGAGTCATAACCTTTCCGTATTCCGAACGGAAAGTTCCTTACATATAAGAATCGAATGTCCCTTACTTGATTTAAACTAAGATCACTGATGGGCTATCACATATAGCAACAACTTGCTATATGTCTGCTTCTATAGACTTTCAGTTAGAATTATGATTAAATAGAATATATGGAAACTTAATTTGGTAAATTAAAGAAAAAGTTGTTAGAAAAAACAATGTATCACTGAGGTGCAGTTCTTTCAAAAAAAATAACGATATTATATGTTATTTTGGTTTTGGAGTGATATATGTGGATATATTACCTGTCAAGATTTTATCTTGGCAGGTAATATATCCACATATATCACTCCAAAACCAAAATAATAATTTTATCACCCTTCCCGTGCCGAGTTAAGACGATTTTAAAATAAATCATTGCTAATTCAAATGAAACGTCGAAATAAGATTCCCTTTAGGATACCCCTTCACCATAACATGACGTCACATAAATACATGACGTATTATCTTTCGAACATAACGGGTGTAAACAAGAGAAAAGGAGTAGTCTGTTGAACGCACTTTCAATCCAGTCATTCTAGCTCAAAATAGAGCCAAACCTCAAACAAATTGCAACAGAAAATATTTTGAGTGTTTTGAAACCCCAGACCTATATTGTATAACATATCAAAAGTCTAGAAAAATCTAAATTGGAGAATGTTTTCAAAAATTGAGATCAAATATATGGGTATCATTGTATTTATTTTTTTTAATTTGAACTCAATGTAGGCCTAATACACACATACAATTTTCCAATCAGTTTTATATATAATATGCATACAAATATAGCTTAATCTATCCCTATAGTAACATAAAGTAATCAAAAAGTTGTTTTTGTTTAAAGAAACTACTTTTACCTTTCTAAAATTTATTAATTAACTTAAGTGGGTGGGGTAATATTATATTTTTACATTGCTGTAGATCAACAATTTATTGAAAGCTCTATATTATATGATATTAAATACAAAATGGTTTACGTACATGTGAAAACTGTCAAGTTTCAACGTTTTATGAATTTAATTTACAATCCATCAATATTTAATGCATATATTGAAATATTTATATTAACATTGTACAGCTAGTGGGTGGGGTAATTTTATACAAAATAAAGAAACATTAAGGAAATCTATATTATCTATGATAATAATATTGAGTTGTATATTAACTTGAATACTTTCAAGCACATCTGTTGTATTTTTTTCTGAGTCATTATATAACATCATGACATTGGGTCAAAAGAGGTGACATTGACCATTTGGAAGGTCAATTTTAAATATTTGATACATTTGAGCATAAAATGTAAAGAAAAATATTTGCAAATTTTAATTTGTAAAATATCTTCGCTAAGCATAAGCACAAGAATGTCATGACTTTTACAAAGCGTCACTCGCTTTTGTAATTTCTGGTCGACCAATCTTTCACTTTTTATCACTAGATGGTAGCACCTGAAATTCTTCTGGTATACCTTTTCCAGTTCTGAAATTACAGGAGCATAAACATGTTTGATGGTAAAGAGCATCGACTACAAGCAAGTCGTGAACCTGTTCTATCCTTGCTCTCACTGTATCAGACAAACAGTCATTCCTCTGTATACATATATTCAAAACAGTAGGTTCTAGTGTCCTTACTGGCGAAACATCACACTTCCTTGTTTTACCCTTACTTATTAAAGATTGACCACAATATAAACAATCTTTTTTGTATGAAAACTTATCAGTCATTGATCTAATTGGTGGCATCAGTCTTTTCTTTTTCTGTCTTAGTGTCTTTTTAAGTGTAATGTGGGTTACAGTACATCTTTCTACACTCAATGTGAATATATTATTCCGATTCAACTTCTAAACTGTCATTTTATTTCTCACTGGTAGCATTTATTCCCTTGCATTCCTTTTCGTTGCCTTTGACTGTTTTTGTATGATCATCAAACAGCCGTTAACAAATCCGACAGGAGTTCATCTTCAAAAAAAACAACAAAAAAAACAATAACTGATATTGTAAGATTTATAAAATCTGTTTTTTACATTATATGGAGGTTGATCCAGAATTACCCCAAATTTGTTTTTAATTCTGATAACTTTTTATGTTTTCTTTATTAACTTTATAAATGCGCAAAGATCGATGTCTCTTCTATTTAATTGCCAAATATAATTGATTATAAACCGTCTCAGGCCGCCTAAAATAACCCTGGATACGCCACAGCAGCGCAACTCAAAGAACACGACGTTCGTTGAAATTTATAATACACCAAAGTGCCCGACACAAAAAGGGATCATGTCCAATATTTGCCGAAGGTTAATGTAAAGCCTGCTAAAATTTCACGTCGTTTGAACATTGTATTATTGTGTAATCATTTGTAATTGCAACGTTTATTTATGAAAAAACGTCTTCATTAAGGCGTCGGAAAACAGCATTTTCATAAACATTTGTCAACTGTTTAGACAGCCTACCATAGAAACATCTAATATGATAAAAGAAATTCCACACAAGTATTTTGTTAGTTATGCATACAAAACTTTTTAGGGATAAAGAAGTTATCAGACTGTTGGTAAATACATATCGTTTGCGGCATAGAAGAATACGCGTAAAGTTAACGTTCTCCGTCGCTGTGGCGATTGAAAACTACAAATATGCTGTCATATGCGGCCTTGCACAATTTCAATGTGATTTAAAAAATGAATTATAAGTGACGATTATGTGCTGTTTTTCATACTTTATTTGTTTTCTTTTACATGCACTTTTTATCTAATTAAATTAAATGAATCATATATTTTATGCCTTCAACTTTAAGATGATCATGTGTATGAATCACAGCAATCAAAGCAATTAGCAGTTCAACAGTCATAGGTTTAGGTTGTTAGTACACTTACAGTGAATGGCATCGGGAGGATTCCCTATGTATAAGAACAATAGAACATAAACCTTTTTTGCATAATGTGAGAAATCCTATGTTTGCTTATAGTAGTATGGTAGGCATACTGTGTTTAATTATAATATTCTTGTTTCCTTGTAAAGAGGATATATTACGCAGTAATAAAGTGTTTGTTATATGAACTTTGAATAAATATTATTGAATTTATTGTTCAAGTTACGGGTTTTTCTGGATCATCCCTTGCATTCTTGTATTCTGGTTATTGGTAGCTGATTACGTATTGTTTCAGTTATCCCAGAACAGTATATGTTATTATAAGATGTATTTTTCCTAAAAGGCTTTCCTTAAAATGTTTTAGGTGTATTTATTTGATCAAAGTTGCTGATATGACACACTTTTCTTGCATATCAGACTGGCGTTTCCGTTAGTATTACCCATGCCGGAAATTTCATCTGGCATAGGGGGTGCCAGATGAGTCGCGTGCTGTACAATGTCACGCTTAAGCCCCAGTCACATTAGAGCTTACGACCAGTGAAGACCAGTTCACGATCACCAGTGACCTCTGGTCGCGGACTATCTTTAAAATGTCTTACGACGGTCATCGGTGATCTTTGACAGTTGCAGGCTATCTTATTTAGGTCCCACGACCAATTTCAGTCGTAGAGAGGTTTTTGAGCTTGCACAAAAACCTCCTTGCGATCAAACAGGTCGCTAGTGATCTTATAAGGTCTTATACACGTAATGCACTTTTTCAAATTCGCGCAGGTGCTATTGTATGCATAAAAGATTTTCTTTTAAATTATGGATCAAGTGTGCATGTTTACCTTGAACTCATACACATCGCCAATCATGAACCATAACTAGAAATCACGTTTGTTTATTGATAAATTTTTCATGTCACCTTTTCATGTATAAATTTCTTCTATGTTTATTAAAAACTGAAAATAATTTCAGATATATTGAATTATGCATACGACGCTCTATTTCCTCCATGTTTAATATTCACTTAAACTAGTAAAAGGAAATGTTTGATATTTGTGTTATATATGTAAAAATATTACAAATGTAAGCAAAGGAAAGCAAACTTACTCATTAAGTGTACATATAGTTTACTGGATTTTTTTTATTTTCAAAATCAAGCATGTACATCAATGAAGACTACCTCAAAGCGGTACCCCTGAAAAAATAATAACATTACATATATTATATATGTAAAACAATTTTAAAAAACTATTAAAAAATACAAAAAAAACAACCTTGAATACAAATTTAACAATAAAACATGATTAAAGTATTCAGAATTTATTTAACGTAATTCGTCATAATTAAAGTGATAATGGCGTTCCATAGTTAAAAAATACTGTCGAAATTAACTTGTTATAAATACACATTTTTAGGCCGTTTTTGAAAGTTTACTAAGACAGGAGTTAATCAGAGTTGTAATTTATATAAATTAAACTGTTTTCCATGAAAAGTATAATACAAATCGCTTGAAACACCTGTTGACCTTCAACGGATAAAGAACTGGTAAAACAAGTAACAATTTTCAACAAATACTCATAATAAACTTACGACCCCACATTAATAATTCGTATTATGATCTGTAATATTTTAAGGAAAATATACAAACCCACTTTACAGTGTACTTTACTGACATTTATTTTGTTTACACTTATTTTGTTGTTGTTGTCGCCATTATGCAGTCGCTATTCTGAGTATCGGAGACGTTTTGTTCGCCTATGGAAGACCGTTGTCGTCAGAAAAAAATCACAAACAATAACGCGATAAAAACCCGTTTTTTCTATGTTGTGCAACTTAGATTTTGCTAGACTTTTGATATGATTCATGTTATTCCATATACTTTCTATACCAGGTGAAATATTTTCTGTTGCAATTTGTTTGAGGTCAATTTACAGACTGACTGGCCTTTTTTGAAATTAATATCAAGCTTTCACAAGGTCATATTTGTTTTCTATACTGACGAGAATATGTATCATTACTCTATTTTGGTAAATATTTATCATTTGACAGTTTAAGAGTGCTTGTAAATCGGAATTTATATCGCGTAAAATCAAACCGTACGCGCATCGCACGGCGCATGTTGTTTACAACGTGGGGTACCCATCGGGGAAATTTAATGTGTATATTACCCGTCTGGCTCGGTAATATCAATTTCTTTCGGGTGATCAATATCCAATCAAAAAGGTGGAAAAAATATGGAAGGGTATTAAAAATTATTGGCGTCGCGTCACAACGGCGAGGGCGGCGATGGCCGCTACAATATTTTTTGCCAGAAACGGCACTGAAAAATAAAATTAAAAAACAAAACCATCTCATTCTGGGCATAAAATGACAGTAAGAATGGATCATTAGCAATCATCGACAAAACGTTAGGTTACTGTCCCCGGTTTCCAAGGCGTTCGTGTCACTTCCCCTTACTGTCTCATTTAGGTATGAAAACATCGGGCCTTAAGGCAGTTCAGTGACCAGTTCCACAAAATTACATGGAAAATATTTTGCCATAAACTGCACAAAAGCAATTCAAAAAGGTGGAGGTTTTAATAAAGCGCCGTGTGACAGAAATAAAAAGTTGCCCGTACTTCTCTTCAGTGCTGCAATATATTTCTAGCCCTTCGTGGCCAATGATTCCAACACGTTAGTATTGACGATTGAAAACCGCTATATATGTGCTAGAGGACATGAGAGATGTTGCGCTTTTACATTATCTCTCTATACAGACTCAATCAAACCGAGTCGGGATTTTTTATCTTACAGCTTCCAAGGGATCACCCCTTTTAACGACTAATTTAGGTGAAAACGGATTTTTTTTCTTAAAAATGGAAATGTATGATGAGTAAAATTTACCGATATCGAATACTGTCACATTGATGCTAGTGTAAAGAAAAAAAAAGAAATAAATACCAGAAAAATCTGATTTTCTTAGAACTTTCATACTTTGTCCGCTATATTTGTTAATTTGGTTGTTGTTTTTGGACTAAGTTTGCCCAAAATTTCTAAATAAATCGAGGAAAATCTGCAATATTGTATACACACATTGCACCTAAATTAATTTTCGAATGAAATTACCTTTACTTAACTATATTAAAATGTATATTTATCATTTTTATTTGCTACTTGTAACTGTGATCAATCCTTGTTAAAAAGAACGTTTGAAATTCATAATGTCATTCCAGATAAATCAAGACTATTTTCAACGGTTAGTTCAGCCAGGTAATTGTGAAAATGTTCAAATTGGAAGTCACAATACACAAGTGGTACATAATAACTGCGATGTATCGTTGATAAAAGATCTCATTAGTCAACTTGAAAACAGCATCAAAGAGGTCAATGAGAAACGGAAGCTGATGGAAGAGCTTATGCAAGATCTTACTTCTCAATTAAAGGTGATTTTTTGTTAGAATAGTTCTTATTACATTCTTAAAATTTATAATTAGTTTTTTAAAATATACCCAAATATCAAAATACTGAATTCAAGTAGTTATCATAAACATTCAAGTATTTTATTTTTCAAAAGTGTTTTATATTGCTTCTCTTTAATTCACGTTATTGTAGAAGTAGACATTCTTCACAGCTTACAACTGACTACATCATCATCAAAACCTTCCGCACAAGTCTGTTATTACATGCTAGAAATCATATGATTATTATTTAACCTTTAACCTATTGGAACTAGATAAAAACGGATTCATTTTCCGATTAGCCAAGCTCGCCCGCACATCCCGGTGTCTGACAAGGCTATTTACTGTTCACTGCTAAATTTTGTAATTTTGGTAAACGAAATCGCCTAAAACTAAATGCTGCAAATCATTACACATACCTAGCCTGTTAACAGTTAATATAAATCATTTCAAACAATAAAAATACAAATAAAACACATTTTGTATGAGCTAGCTCCTTGGACCTGACACTCAAACCAGTTTTTCTAAATAACTGAAACACAATAATAGTAAATGAAGCTTGAATTCAATCAACTTTAAATATTTATAAGCTCAAATGTCATTTATAACTTCAATTTTGAATTACAAAGTCTCTTATTAATCTTATTATTGTACATATTCTGTACTTGTGCCAGCATATGGAGTTACGTTTCTTGGAGTATCATTTGGTCTATTTCATGTGCATACTGAATTTACTGATTATATTACCTTTTGTATATTTTAGAAATAATTATGCTTTATCAAACTTTCAGAAAATGATGGAGTATTCTAAGATAAGCACAAGGAGCTATACAGCAGATAGTGAAGGACATAGACAGGTTAATGACATGAAGCAGTTAACAGAACAACTAGCAGGTACTGAAACGGCTTGTCCAGATTGTTCAGTTTCCAGAATATCTCAGCAAATAACAGATTTGCAATTAAAATTAGACACCTTTAATGAGTTGTGTGCTTCCAAAAGAGTGTCGTCCACGCTATCATTAGATGAAAGAAAGCTATCGAGAAACAATAGCAAATGTGAATGTCGAAGACATTCTGAACATAACTTACATATGTAGGTTTTTCTTTCATGGTTGGTCTAGTGTGTACTTTGAACCCTTATCCTTTGTTAAATGAACTAGTTCAATTTTCATGTAGTGTAAGTCAACAGTACAGAGCCTGGTCAGATTGAAAGGATATAAAGCCTGGCTCTATACTGGTAGCAAAGGCTATTAACTTTCGGTCCCAGCAGGGTAAAGGTTTAAGAAAAATTGTAACAAACATTTTTGGACTGTTTGAATCAGCATAACGTTTGCTGAATAAAAGATATACAAGTAATACAAGTACTCAAATAATAGTGATGACACCCAAGCTGTGGTATTGGAACATATTTCACAGTAAGACAATGTCGAGATAAAAATATCAGAATAAATACACCCCTCCATCCATCAACGTACATTTGTATATAATTATGTCGTTGTGTCTGTTTTCATAATATTTATAAACCTGTGTTAGAAGTATGTTGTTATATAAGGTATGCCATTTTGTTTTATTTTCACAGGTTGTTCATCGTTTTATATAATATCGTTAATGCACTTACATTTAGAATGAATGTTGCACATTTTAATTATCTCTCATGAACAGACTCTATCAAAAGTTCAAAACGAGACTGCAATTTTCATATAATATTGTTATTCCATTGATTTCGAGTTACCAACCATTTTCAAGATTAGTGTGATGAGCACAATCACAAATATTTATACCAAATTTGTACTTATAATGTACACAATATTAAGCCTATGTTATTTTTGAAATGTATCCTAGAATTTATTCATGATCAAAGTAATATTTCATATGTAAGTTATCAATTAATTGTTAATGAGTTCGAATTATTTATGTATTCATTTTTCAAAGATTTTTGGTGCTGTTGTTTTATTTCTTATAATTATTATTGTAACTTTGCAATGTCTGTCTGTAAAATGTGTTCTATTGATCGTGACTATGCTAGGTTTCATGTTACTTTACATTTGCAATTGATTTCTTAATATGTATATTTTAGATTGGTAAATGCACATCATGTTGGCGAGATTTTATTCATATATTCATATCTTTCAGAATTACCTACCTCTTTGGTTTCTGTGAACACGTGACCATGATGTTTAATTGTTACTTGTGTATGATTGAGACAAAGATAAATATTAATTTGAAACATTTATGTTTGTGTATCTTTATTTTCATTTTGTTTACTTTTTGCTCGGTCTAAACACATGTAATTAGGTTCAGTTTAAATAAATACTTAAAAAGACTATTAAGAAAAATATGACTTTGTTTTCCTCCCAATAATTCTATATATGATATTGATTAGCTGATAAATCATATTATGTGATTCACCTAGATTTTTGACACTATATATCTAACTGCATTGAAACAAAAGAAGTATATACTATTGCTTTGCACCAAAACACTTGAAAAGCAGTTGTTATGATGACCTGGATGACAGTCTCATTTGAACCTTAGTCATATAAACGTACCAGTATTTATAGCGACATATAATCTAGATCAACATGTTTTAAGGCTAAAATTAGTCTTATTGGTGTTATTTTAACAGATATATGCCAAATCGTTTACTCTCTAGTCTTTGTGATTTTCATACATTTGAACTCGGATGTTCCATGAAGTAAAATGGATCAAATATTATTTTAAATCTTATGCTAGCGCTTTCATATCCAGTTTAAGGTACAGCACTACTTTTGCTGAAACTTGAAACCAGCCGTATGCAAAAACAAGCATTGTAGCAGCTCTCGGAGGCATTTGATTTCTCACGCCAAAACTTAAATATTAAAATTTTAACTTTATTGTTTGTAATGTCTGATCCAGCTCTTCAACTAGTAAATAGTTATTTAAAAAAAGAAAACAATTTAACAAATTTTGTGATAATTTGAGCATATTAAGCACAATCATTGCAGGTGTTCCTCAGAGCTCTATTCATGGTCTTTTATTCTTCAATATATCTATAAACGACATTTTTGAGTTTATAAATCAAAGTAATTTCTAGTAACGCAGATAGTAATATTATCCTTTTAAAGTTAAAATCAAGAAGGAGCATTACGTTTTATTGATGATATATATGATGATTTTTTTCAAGCTCATACAATAGAGAGAAAAAAGAATCCTCAAAGAAAATCCAAAACTGATGTAAATGTTACAGGCTTATCATTTATTATATTCCCGAAAGAATATCGGACATATTATGTTATACCCCCTGGCGTCCGTCCGTCTGTCTGTATGTCCGTCCGTCAGTTAGCAATTTGGTTTCAGAAGCATAACTTAAGTTCCATTTGGCCCACAATATTCAAACTTTATAGGATGATTGTCCATATTTAATAGAAGACCCCTTTTAATTTTTTGGTCACAATGTCAAAGGTAAATGTCACTATTACATGTACCTTAAAACTGAAAACAGTTTCCGCTCAATAATTTAAGTATTAATCAACCTAGAGCTGTAAAATTTATAGATGGACATCCATGTCCAATACATGATCCCTATTGATTTTAGGGTCATAAGGTCAAAGGTCAGGGTCACAATGATCTTTACAGTAAAATTTACATAGTGTTCAAACTTCATAGGATGATTGTCAATATTGAGTAGAAGACCCCTATTAATTTTTGGGCCACAAAGTCAAAGGTCAAAGTCACTATTACCTTAAAACTGAAAACGGTTTTCGCTCAATAACTTAAGTATTAATCAACATACAGCTGTAAAATTAAATTAATTAGGATGAACAGCCATGCCAATACATGACCCCTATTGATTTTATGGTCATAAGGTTAAAGATCAGGGTCACAATGACCTTAACACTGAAAATTGTGGTTTCTGGAGCATAACACAAGTTTTACAACTGCCAAACTTCATAGGATGATCACTTATATTGTGTACATTTATTATATGCCCTAAAAAAGTGCTTAAGTTATGCCCCTGGCGTCTTTCCGTCCATCTGTCGTAGCATTTTTACTTACAAAATAACAACAACTTGACGGTGGTGCTTTGGAAATATATATGAAGGTTCTTCAGCTATAAAGGAGGATTGCTTTTTGAAGGAAGTAATACTTTATTTTAATGTGTTTTTTTTTAAGGAAGTAATACTTTATTTTAATGTGTTTATGTATCAATTTCTTTAATTTATGTATACATTGTATTTCCTTCATAAATGGGTACACTGAACGATGGCTGTTTTACAGAAGTCACACTTCTTTTGTTTATTCATTCAAGATTAACACTTTTCGGGCATATAATGCTCCGCCTAGCGGTGCTCTTGTTAGAAAGCTTTTGGTTCCCATCTCTTAAAGTTAGAACAATTAAAAGTGTTACCTTTAAAGATATTAAATTAACCACTTTTTATCATATTGCTAGCATTATGCCTCGGAAGTTAATGATTTTTTTTATTCTGTAGAAAGGAGTTATATTAGTTTTATGATGTTTAATTGAGCGAGAGCATGTGATATGAGTATACTCGGTCGCCAGGCTTAGGAATCCCACTGCAAGTATCATTTAGACAGTACTTATCTAACAACAAGTTCGAGACCCACGCTCTACATCTGGATTTTACTATTCTAGGTGTGCCAGGTAGGGAGCCTGAACACGATGTCTGACGAGCAGATTATTACTCCCTACTGCCGTGCCTGTTGAGCTTTTAGCCAGCAGGCATAGCTCAATCGGTTAGAGCGCGAGACTTGTAATCTCGACATTGTGGGTTCGATTCCCGGGCTGGCCAACTAAAATTACTAATCAGTCTTTCGGATGAGACTTTAAATCGAGGTCCCGTGTATGGGTGCTTAAACACTTGGCACGCTAAAGAACCAGGAGAAGCTTCTGGAATTGGGGCATCTTTCTGTATCTATAATTGCACTATCCTCCAAAAATCTAAAATGACTAATACTCTTCTGGAGGACTCGCCCATATGGGCAACCGGTGGCGAGTATAAATAAACGCAAATACACACACCTGTTGAGCTTATTTTTCAGTTTATTAAATGCATATATTACATTTTGGCTTGCTGTTTTGTTGTTGTTATTTTTTAAAATTTTATTTAGTCTTTCAATATACCTGTGTTGGTATATAAATATAAGCTCTGTATTTCTTATCTCATATACTTGACCTGTCGGATTTTATGGCTAAAATTCTATACTAGTTACTTTTTTGCGACTCTGATTTACTGTTTATAGTATAAAAGTCATTTAGATTATGTTTTTAACAAGTTATAGCAATGTATTGGCTTTTCTCTCCATATGTTTTGAAAATATATATGCTACATGAATCATATTTGCCATAGGTTAATGTTATTTAAAATGATTTGCTTATATATCTGCATGTGCTATACATGATTATGTTAAAAAAAGCTCTTCGTCAGTGGTTGTGTTATTTGGGCCTATCCGACTTTCACACCTACTCAAATTTGAACAGCGTCACTTGATCAGTTAATGTTGTGCCGAGATGTTCTTGGCCATGTGATTAAAGTACAAAAGGATATGACAGTATCTCTTATAATATGACTATGGTCAATAGAAAGTGACTTTTACCGATAATGTTATTTACAAACAAACTTTGTTATAAAGCGTGGACTAATCGTTTATGACTTTTTTGAGTCCTGTGCATCGGTCGAATGTTCCACTTCCAGTCACTTTCTTACAAAAGTTACGGTATTCAATTAGCTGCTAAAAGAGCGTTAACGTAAAAAAAAACATGATTATAAATTACAGATTTTGTTAAAATTACAACGATGAATTAAATGCGTTTTAAAATAGAAAGGGAACAGAAAAACAACGTATGCGCTTTCCGTCCCCTATTTAGGGTTCTCTGTATGAAAAGGAAAATCGGACAGCTAATGAAAAGTTGTATTTTGGTCATAGATCTAGATCTATAATAAAACAGTTATTGTATCAATACTTCTGGTTAATGTAATATTAACCTTCAACTTCGGTGAATATCGCATTCGACCTCATTATCATAAAATAGTTGTATATTAAACAGTAATGTAGAACTAAGCATTAGATTCGACAAGTCTTCTCCTGTGTTATAAATGACTTTTTAGTGTATCATTTGTATTTCAAAGTTTACAAGAAAACTTTTTATAATTATATTATACGCGGCAGCTAAATTACACTATCAAAGTGACAATTTCGTTATGGTATAATGTTATATAACAGAATTGCAACCAATCTTTGGGACTTGAATAGCAAGACAAATTCCTGTTTTCAGTGTCACTTAATTTTGCCCTCTTAGATCTACTTGACTGATGATATGAGTACTTATAAGAACATTCTTTAGTAATGACTCATATCCATTGAACTTTTCATAATACATATAGAACCTTGAACTATTGTATTTTATCTATTTTAGGAAAGTATGTAGATCTATACAGATTATGTCCAATGGTTTGGAAAATCTTTCACCCGATCGGGAACAGGATCTTTGGTTTGGTTTAAACATATTTATTTAAGCTCGACTGCGAAACAAGTTCTTGCAACTATATTTATCACTTTCGAGTCTGCTTCCTGGAACCAACCAGTACTTGTGTATGGAAAGCGGTATGGGACCCTTCCGCCGTTACTATATAATTCAATGTAAATTTCTAATGACGGAAATCCGCCGTTAGAAATACCCGCTCCGCCATAAGCTATCCACTCCGCCGTAATACTTGTCCGGCCGAAAGATTCCGCCGTTATAATGTAACTCAAATGAAATTTCTACTGACGGAAATCCGCCGTTAAAAAAAAACCGCCCCGGCGTTAAAAAATTCCTGCCCCGCCGTCAACTATCCACTCCGCCGCGCTACTCAGTCATTAACTCGACTAACTCATATGGAAAGCGGTATGGGACCCTTCCGCCGTTACTATATAATTCAATGTAAATGTAGAAAGATGGTCGTGACCCGAGTAGGGCTCGAGGGTTGAGAGGCAGACACTTTAACCACTAGGCCACAGCTCCCCTTGATCTTTGAACAGCTAGGATCTTTTACCGATATCATTATTCTTTTAAAAAGAACTCAGACTGTGCAATCGAGTGCAAAATGAATTTAACACTTGCTATACACTGGCCAGAAATGCAATATTTCGGCATGGTTATATTATACATGTATATCTAACCCCGAACCTGCTGAAATTCTTAAATTGACTTGTCTAACTTCCGCTTAACAGTTCATTATCATTTTGAGTA